CCCTTCGCAAGTTGACAGGTAACCACCAAGCTTGGCAGTGGCCTGCACCAGGAGACATTGTGGTCCCCTGCCAGGAAACAGGCTTCTATGACTCTCTATTAGCTCTTACTGAGTCACAGACTCAATCATGTCCCTCAAACGTCTCCTAAAGGTACCCAATCAATTCCAGCCAGAGGTGCCAAGTTCCAAAGCACACCTTCAGCCCTTGAGGAGAGGAATGGTCCACAGATGGAGCAGCTGCTTGGTGGTGGGCTTCAGCAAGTCTGTGAGCTCACTCACAGGAAGACATTAGCAGCCCCTAAGGAAGCAGAGCAGAGTAGAGCATACGTATCGGGGAAGACATATGTTTAATAGGCATAATTCTTCCCCTTCTAGTAAGATCACACTCACGGCTTTCCCTTGGGTAGTGAGAAGAGCAGTTGGCATGGGCATTTTCCCCGGCTTAGGGTGCCCAGATGTGCTCCCCTGGTAAGGTCACCTGAGGGGTTGGAGGTAAAGGCACTCATTTTGCTGTATGTCAGGAAGAGAGATCCACTTCCATCCTTCAGGCTCCAGCCATGATCCCAGTCCAGGTGAAGGATGGCTGTTAAGACCTCCCATGTAGCAGGAAGGTGGTTTAACTCCTCCACCCCCACAAGGACAAAGTTACCAATTCATCTGGGTGGGATAACGCTAAGGTGACCAGATGGGGATGTAGCTCAGTGGTAGAGCATTTGACTGAAGGGCATCATGTCACTTTGCTCTGGCAACAACCTAAGCAAATACACTTTCGGAGCCCATGGTATCAATTGTGTTAGAGGGTCATCCAGGCTCCTGGCATGGCACACAGGCCTAAAGCCCTACTGGGAGCTCAATTTATCAACCTCAAAGGCTCAAGCAGAACCTTTGTCCATGCACCAAAGAAGATGTGCCTATAAGGTTGTATCTGTTGTCTTAGGACAACACTTTCTTTCCACCAAACCCCTGGCCTGCCACAGGGCCTTCCCCCACAGGACCTTGGCTCTTGTATTCCACTGATGCTCACACCCCAGGCCAATTCACATCATTAACCCGCAGGCTTCCACCCAGGTGTATTACAAAGGATCAAGGGCCAGAGCATGTGAGTGAGGACCAGCCACATAACCTTTCCTTCAACTCATTGATTGCTTTGCCATGAGCCAGTTTCCCACACCTCAGCTCCAGTCCTTGTGTAGCAGGTGCCTGCTGGCAACAGGGCCTCCTCTGCGCAGAGAAGGGAGACCGCTCCCGCAGCGTGTTCGCCCAGGCAGGTGGGCCGTTTGGACAGGTAGCCCTTCCCATATCGTACACAGACCTTTCCCTGGTGCTTTTATGTGCTTTCTCAGAAACATGGAGCTAAGTGCCCCCACAAAAAGACCCACAAAGACCTGTACTCCTTGTGACCTCCTGGGGGTGGGGGAAGCTTGTATCTTCTCAACAATGGTCTCAGGCAATGCTTGGGTCTTACCCAACCAGATAGCCCCCAGGAATTTGACTATCATTTCCTGATCCTGACACTTTGGGGGGTTCATGGCCCACCTGTTCCCTCACATGATGGTAATTACAGCATCTAGATCATCCTGGAGGCCTGGGGGTGCAGTGGTTATGCATTGGGCTGCGATCCAAAAAGTCACCAGTTTGAAACCACCTGCCACTCCTCAGGAGGAAGATGCGGCTTTCTACTCCCCTTACAGCCTCAGAGACCCACAGAGGCAGCTCTGCCCTGCCCCCTAGGGTCACCATAAGTCAGAATCGACAGCGAGTTTGGTTTGGTTTGGGAGACAATCCGGTCACAGAGAAACATCTTCAGCAGTAAACACGATGTCATCAACATCATGAAACCAATGGCAACCGTGGGGAGGGAAGGGAGTCAGGTTCTAGCACCCACACCACGGCAAATGGTGGGTGTGGTGAGGGTCGATGTCCAAGTCCCCTTCAGGATTGCTCTCACCACTTCTGCCTGCAGTAGACATTCTCCCACAGAGAATCCATCCCTAGAACGTCAATTGCCAAAGGCGGGCCTGGAGACCAGCGGGGTTTCCCAAGCTGTGATCGGCCAGTGCTGATCCTTGTTGCACTCGGTTTCCAGATCACTGAGGGCCACACCGTATGAGTGGAAGGAGAAGCTTATTGGAGCCGGCGCGGGGAGTCAGAGCTACTATAGCTCAATGTCTCTCAGTCCCAGAGCTACTCAAACTCCGGTTGATAAAACAACAAACCACAAGTGGGTGGAATGACTTCGCGGCTAATCACAACTGCACGTGCTGACTGAGGGGATGAACAGCAAGGGAACTGCCCACGGGTCTTCCTTATGGGCCCGGGCAGCAGCAAGTGAGCTTCAGGGTACTTGCTACTCAACGTTTGTTTGCCCTTGACCCATGTACCTCAGTTCCCCCGCAGGGTTTTAGCTTTCACATGACCTGACCTTGGCTCCAACCCCTAGACCTACCAGGGTCCTCACAGAAGCAAAGGTGCTTCCTCGTAGGGGAGGGGCAGTAGGCCCCAGAGGGAGGTATGAGCGCTCCAGCTGAGATTTGTTCAAAGGCTGTGAGCTTTTTTTTACTGCCACCTTGCTGACTACATCCACCCACATCTGCTCTTGATTTCCTCACAAGGGGCTTTGCAGACTGTCCTCAGACCGCCCCCCCCCCTCTCCTTTCCCCCCTGATTTGTACCCCTTCTCTCTAGCGCTCTCTGTTTCACCTGTGTCAGCTGTTCTGGCTTAGGCACTGCTGGGGAGGAGGGAGGGGCTGGGAATTCCTACTTATTTCTGAAGCCAAAAAATGTCTGGCCCCACTGTGGTTGGAATGAAGCTCCTGCTTACTGATTTGGGCTCAGATTTGGGTTCCAGAGCCAAGTGGAAGCAGGAAAGGGATTCAGGGAAATGGAGGGGGATGGGGAGGAGGCTTTCCCACAACAGCAGGAGCCCTTGCTTACAAGATGAAGCCCTGGGCAACATCAGGCCTGACTTGAGTCTCTGTGTCCCCCTCTGCGGCGCAGGGGCTTTGCTGGCCTTAGTGAGCCAACAGGGCTGCACGCCAGGACTGTGGCCCTCCACGGCCACCCCAGCAGGTTTTATAGAAGAGTGATTTAGCAAAATGGAAGCAGACTAGCAAAAAGCAAGAGCATGGTTTTATCGAACTCACAAAGCCCGTTTCCCCTACAGGTGGCTAAAGAGAAGATCCCTGGTGGCACGGCAGTTACACATTGGACTGCTAACAGCAAGGTCGGCAGTTCAAAGCCACCAACAGCTCTGCTAGAGAAAGATGAGGCTTTGTAAGACTTACAATCTCAGAAACCCACGGGCCAGTTCTACCTTATCCTGTGGGGTCACTGTGAGTTGGAATTGACTCAATGGAAGTGAGTTTGGTTATTTTGATGTTTTGGTCTGTTTGTGTGTGGCTAGAGAGAAGTGACTCTATGTGGGGAAAACTTGGGTTAAAACTATCAGGACCAGACTGTTAAGATGGTAGGCTTTGCTTTTTCCACCACACAAAGCCATTGACAGAGAACATGGCCCTGACCCCTCCCCTAAGAGGGTGCTACATTCCTGGTGCACGTGGGTGCTGCCTCTCTGATCATTTCCCCTCCATTACTCCCTTCAAGTCCTAAACCCGGGTGAGCCCTAACCAGGAGAGTGCCCCAGAGGCACTACTGTGTCTAGAACCACCGTAAACCTTGTATGAACAAGAAAGACATCCCTGCTGTCTTTAAACCTTAACCTTTAACTGCCCCCCCACCCCCGCCCCAGAGTCATCTTTGAACCAAATAATAGTTTCGCTTAATTAGCACAGAATGCTTTCCTGGAGCATTGGACTCTTTGAAAGAATGATCTATGTGGGATCAAGTTGACTGGAGCAGCCCAGCAAGGGTCAATGAGAAGATTAGAGGTCAAGGAGTTCACCTTCACTGGAGGTGAGGTCATGTGGAGAAGAACAGGGGAATGCCTGCGGCCCTGGAGAGAGTACTCAATGTCACCGACTTTGGAAGAGTGATGAGATTACTCTCTGCTGTGCCGTGGGTATTTCGTTTTCAAAAGCCTTTAAAGTAAGGCAGTCATCAACCTCTATAATGGTAAGCACTGGCCCTTGGGGTTGTTTGTTACTGTGGCTCAGCCTGGCCTATCCTGACCCATAGACCCTTGTTCACCGGCTGCTCCTATCGTTGCTCTAATTATGGCTCCTCCTTCCCCACACTGCTGATGTGTCACTCCACTCAACCACCCCACACGGTCGCACTTCCAGCTCTGTCAGTGGGTGGGAAGCTCTCTTCCTCTCAGTTTAAATCTCCTACTACTGTCTGTAAGAGGGAGTGCTAGATGTCGATTTTTCCTATAGCCGGCTGGATTGCGTGCCCAGGACAAGGAGGGAGCACCAGGCCACATCCGGTTGGCCCCACCTTGGGGATCCAATTCTGCCCCTAGTCCTAGGCTGAGGGGAACTCAGCTGTGAGTGGGCAGGAAAAGTCTAGAGGCAGGTGTTAGACTCCTACCGAGCACCCCATTTGTGCCCCGCACGCTGCACACATCACCTCATTTGATCCACATGCCAGCCCCTGGTGTAGGCAGTAATGGCCCCAATCTACCAGTAGCAGCTGCCATTGAGTTGATTTAGGTCCATGGCGGCCCCATGTGTATACATAGAGTAGACATTCCACAGGGTTCTCAATGGCTCATTTTTTCAAATAGCCATGATTGCCAGCCTTCTCTGCAGAAGCACTTCTGAAGACTCAAATCACCAACTCTTTGGTTAGCACATCCACTGCCCCTTCCAGGGATTCCAGCCCCATTTTACAGACCAGGAAATGGAGGCTCAGAAAAGGTAAGGCACTCGCCTGCAGTGATTAAGGTTGGGTGTCAGCTTGGCTGGGCCAGTTTTCTCAGTATTAAGATGTAGTCATTTGTGTTAGTCCGGGTAGACTAGAAAAACAAATTCATAGTTATGCATATGTGTATAAGAGAGAGTTTTATATAAAGGATAATAGTACATTAAGAAAGCATCCCAATACTTACCTGGCAGGGGAGATACCATGATCACGAGGGTGGTTTTCCCAGGGCAAGGCTTATCCATTGCACGCCAGATGGGCTGACCCCTGCAATTTCCCCAAATGTGGGAAACTCGACCTCATAATTTGTGGTAGTGGGGGACTGCATTCGCACTCTCCCCTGATTAAAAAAAAAAAAAAGCATCCCAACCCAGTCGAGTCCAAGTCTATAAGTCAGATATTAGTCCATATGTCCAATACCAATCTATAAAGTCCTCTTCAGACTCACGAAACACATGCAATGACGTTGAATGCAGGACGATCACAGGCCAGTGGGTAGAAAGTGTTTGGATCCAGTGGTGTTGTAAGCATCTCAGCGCTGACAGGGGTCTCCGCGTGGTTTCTCCAGCTTCCAGGCTGCATCAGGGTAGGTCCATGTGGCTTCTCCTCGGGGATGTCTCCCAGGGAGTCAATCAAGAGAAAGAGGTGTCTCCTGCCTCCAAGGAGGAACTATCGGACTTCCCAGCATTCTCAGGAGAAAGGCATGCCCACAGAGAAGCTTCATTGTTTATATCTTGATTGACAGGCCAGACTCCACCCCTTCACTCGTAATCCTCTCAAAGTGACACCAGATTCTGTAACCACCACATCATTCCTCATGAGAAGATCTAATATCAGGTAAGCACCTTCATGATGAGATCGGCTATGGTAGCCACTGTGCACCCATAATCCTGGCTCCAATGTAATCCACTTCTATGAGCATGTGTTCACTTTCAGAGTGTGGTGGGCTTTTCCACTCAGGCTGATCTAGACGAGGATCCCGCGAAGCACGTTTCTGAACCTCCCCACACATTAGTTTCAACACTGTCCGGAAAGCACTGGGAAACGAGCTTATTTACTGCACTGGTGTGAGGACTAGCAGAAGTGCCAGACACAGTGTCTACCACAAAACATTCCGTCATTAGCTACCAAGTTCTCCCTTGACCCTCCCCTCACCAATGCACAATTTCCACTTTACTTGTGCTGAACTGGCTATCAGGGGCCATTCATCCATTCACTCATCTGTCTATCCACTTAGCCACTTATCCATCAACCCATCCATCCACCTATCCCTCATCGACCCATCTATCCATTTGTGCATCCTGGTATTTATTTTACATCATTTTTCAAGCACCTAGTACGGTGCCTAAAGAAACCTTAGTCGTGTAGTTAGTTATGCACTGGGCTGCTAACCACAAGGTCAGCAGCTTGAATCCACCAGCTGCTCCGTGGGAGAAAGGTGAGGCTCTCTGCTCCTGTAAAGACTTACTTACAGCCTCAGAAACCTAAAAAGGGGATGGATGGATGGATTGTGAAAAGAGTTGTACAGACCCCAATAAAATGATTTAAAAATGTTGAGACTGATGAGGGCAACAAATGTACAAACGTGCTTGACATACAATGGATGGATGTTTGGATTGTGATAAGAGTTGTATGAGCCCCCAATAAAATGATTTTTTTAAAGATTCTTTAGAAGAATGATAAGTGATGATTCATTAAAAGATGAGTTGGAACAAAACAAAACAAAAGATTTTTAAAAAGAAGAAGAAACCAAAAAAGGACAGTTCTACTCTGTCCCGCAGTGTCATTATGAGTCAGAATCTATTTGATGGCTGTGCCACCAGGTAAGCATTGGATTGCTAAGCAAAAGGTTGACGGTTCAAGCCCACCAGCTGCTCTTTAAGAGAAAGAAGAGGCTCTCTGTTTCCATCAAGATTTACAGCCTCAGAAACCCAAAAGGCCAGTCTGACTGTGTCCTATAATGTCATAGGAGTCAGAATGCGCACGATGGCAGTGAGTTTAGTTTGACGACGACTACTATGTCTAAAAGAAACCCTCATAGAAGTATCGGATTGCAATTCAGTCAGGTCAGCGGTTCGATCCCACCAGCTGCTCCCACAAAAATATACAGTCTCAGACCTTCTATCGGGTTTTCTGAGTCACCATCAACTCAATGGGGTGAGGTTAGTTTTGGTTGAATAATGCCTAGCGGTGTCGTGGTAACACATTGGGCTGCTAGCGGCAAGGTCAGCGGTTTGACATCACCAGCTGCTCCACAGGAGAAAGATGAGGCTTTCTCCTCCCACCAAGATTTACAGTCTCAAAAACCCACGGAGTTTGTCCTGTGGGGCTGTTACGAGTCAGAAATGACTCCATGACAGTGAGTCGGACGCCACTGCAAGGTGTGCACAGGAGATTCCAAACACTTTTCCAACCTGGCTGTGAATAACTTAATGCCAAATGAAGTGTCATAGGAGAGGCATGGAGCAAGTGCTGGGAGATTAAACGCTCCCAGGCCTCTCTTAAAGCTCCAATGGAGGCAACTGCCAGGATTACTTTGTATGTGATAAAAGATTTCCATCTCTCTGCTGAGGACCACCAGGACGGTTTTTCCTTGGCACCAGGAAGACGCCTCCCATTCTAATTATCGTAGCCTAGGTAATGGCTTCCTCTTACCTTCCCAGTCTACTGTACTCAGCCCTTAGTTACTCCGCTGAGGACCATGTACAGAGCCCAGATTTCTTCCAAGATTTTAATTGAACCTTCCACAAAGGATTTCTGAAGCCAACAAAGGGCTCTCAATGAGGAGATGATGGACGCCTTAAAGCCAGCCCTCCGGGAAGCAGACATTGGCTGAGGGTCGCAGCAGAGGCGGGCGCGGGAATGAGAAGGTGAAGGTTTTGCAGGGTTCACCACGGACCTTCGCGCCCCACCCCACCCCACCCCCTTGCAGATCTCTCCCTCCCAGCTCTGAGTCCTGCGCACTTTTTAAATCAAACACATTTCCAGAAATGGAGGGCGGGGGGCGGGGTACTCCTGACGGATGCGGCGCCTGGTAAACAAACAGCTGTGGGGCACAGTTCCCAGTCCAGGGAAAAACGAATCGTACAAGGTTTATCGCCCCAGCGAGGAACAGGGACCCACGGAAATGATGAATGAGACGGGCAGATTCTCTGCAGGCCCAACACACCCTGCAGGAGAGGTTGCTGAGGAAACGCTGCCGACTGCCGCGCTGTTTAGTGTTGTAGGAAACTGCCGTTCTGCTATGAACCTGCAGTGTGCGTTTGGGCAAGGTCCCCCAACCGTGGGAATCTCCCTGTGCTCCCGTGGGTGGAGATATTGCCCCACCTTGCCTGCCAGAACGCGCTTGTTTTCAGGGCCACTTAGCAGGAGGCAGGAAGGCTCCGTGGGAAGCCAGATTCTCCCTCACTCAATGGCTTCAGATGATGTCCAAAGCTGGGTTCTCTAGGGAAGCAAAACAAGTGAAGCTTGTGTATGAATCTGTATGGAGAGCTTGAGCTCCTGCAAATGGCGTGAAATTAATCGTACAGGTTTGGCACGTTCCAAGTCAGGATGTTGGGTTGGAGGCTCCTCTTGGCTCATGGAGCTGCAGAGGCTGAGGAGCCCAAGACAGGCAGGTCACAAGGTAGACTGCTGACAACTCTCAGAATTGGTAGGCAATACGGCGGGCTCACGAACAAAGAACTGGAGGTCGGATGATAAACTAGACCCAGGGAAAAAAAACCCAAACCATAAACCAAGCACTCTTCGCCCGAGTGCACACAGATTGGAAGCTAACCATACTTCTGAGGAAACTCCTTTCAATTGATTCGCTGCTCGCAGCGTCTCATCATGATCAGGATGACCTTATCTTCCGTCTCATCAGAGGAGCCCCACCTTAAACATCGCAGGCGAGTGCCTGGCCTTTTCTGAGCCTCCGTTCCCTGGTCTGTAAAATGGGGCTAGAATCCATGGGTGGATGTGCTAACCAGAGTTGGTGATTTGAGTCTTCAGAAGTGCCTCTGCAGAAAAGTCTGGCAATCGACTATTTGAAAAAATGAGCCATTGAGAACCCTATGGAACGTCTACTCCGTATATACACATGGGACCGCCATGGGACTTAATCAACTCAATGGCAGCTGCTACTGGTAGAAAGAATGGGGCCAACACTACCTACACCAGGGGCTGGCATGTGGATCGAATGAGGTGATGTGTGCAGAGTGCGGGGCACAAATGAGGTGCTCGGTAGGAGTCTAACACCTCCCTCTAGACTTTTCCTGCCCACACGTAGCTGAGCTCCCCTCAGCCTAGGACAAGAGGCAGAATTGGATCCCCAAGGTGAGGCCAACCGGATGTGGTCTGGTGCTCACCTCCCTAGCTAAAAGCTCAGAAACATTGGGTTGATTTCCACTGGGAAACCATTTGCGTTCAGCAGCATCTGGCTCTTAAAAAATTATTTTCCGAAATCCTTCCTCATCTATTACCCCAAACCGAACAAACCAAGCCACTGCTCTTTGACTTGATTCCAATTCACAATAAAAAGGGCACTTCCCCACAGGGCTGGCAGACAAAGGAGCGCTACGCCACCGGGCTTCTCAGGCTGTAAATCTTTACAGAAGTGGGCTGTGCGTCTTTCTCCCCCAGAGCAGCTGGTAAACTCAAACTGCTGACTTTGGGGTTTGTGGTCAACTGCTTAACCACGGACTCATTAGGGCTCATTTCACCCCGGCCCCCTAAGGCGTGCTCCAATTCAGCCTGCCCTTTGGGACTTGGATGTCATTCTCTGAACTCTGGCCATTGGAGAGCTCCTGGATATGAGCTCGTTAGATCCCAGTACAAGCTTCCCCTTCTCCTTCGAGGGGTTGAGGGGTCGTGGCCAGCTCACAGTGCCTCCCTGTGAATGACAAGGAGCCCTTGAGCAGACAAAGCCCCACCAGGACACCCTGGGGCTCAGCACATGGAATAGAGGCTGGATTGTGGTCACATGGTCACTAGCTGGAAGTCCTTATAGAACACACAATGTCCACAAACTCTCCCCCTGCTCTCTGCTTCCACCCTCAACACACGGTCACCCTCCTCCTCCTCGGAGCAGTGGCTGACATTGACGGAGGGCTTGTTGAGGACCAGAATCCCTGTTGTTGTTGTTCTTAGGTGAGGTCAAACTGGTTCGACTCAAGGTGACCTTGTGCACAACAGAATGCAACACCACCCGGTCTGCAGTATTAAATTGGGTGGGGGACGGGCCAGCCCCCACCGCTACTACCCACGGATTCAGTAATGCACAATTGTATGGTTGAGATATATACGTATTATATTAAAGTCATCGGGAGCATGAGAGATATAATAATGCAGTCAGACACATTA